AGCTGAAACTGAGCCAATCTGAAGCCAGGGGCCAGGAATCACTTCCAGGGCTCTCACACCGGTGCAGGGTCCCAAGGCTTTGGGCTGTCCTTGAGTACTTTCCCAGGCCACAAGCAGGGAGCTGGATGGAAAGTGGAACAAGCAGGACACAATGAATTGGTGCCTATATGGAATCCTGGTGATTGCAAGACGAGGATTTAGCCACTAGGCCACCAGGCTGGGCTGCAGTTCAGGTATGAAAGAGGGAGAGCTCCTGCTAGGGGTGTCCCATACAAACTGAGCCATTGGCTTCTGGAGGCCCCCTACCTGCCTTCTGCCCTCAGGGCTGGGCTGCATGCAGCATTGGATGCCATTTACTTCTGCCATCCTGGACCTAGGAATAGAGGGGTGGACGGGGTTGTGCCTTTGGTGGCCTCTCCAAATTCTGCCTCCTTCTCAGGCACAAGAGAACTGAAGCCATGTTTATTTTTCTGGAACTGAATAAATCCGCATGTTCTCCTTAGTGAGCTTAGAGGGCTGACAGAAGCTGCCCTGGGACCCAAGATCTGATCACCAGGTGCCTTTGGCCCAAGCAGAGTGGGAGAAGGAGGGGAGGGGAGAGCGAGGCCCTCCATGTGAACCAGTCTGGGCGGCCACCAGGCTGGCGTGGGAGGGAGGTGCACTGCCTGACCACGCCCGCCTGCGCGGCACCTCCCAGCACCCTCTCCACTTTCTCTTCTTCCCTTTCCCAGGAGGGAGGGCCCTCAACCCTCCTCTCTGGGTGACTAAAGAAACTGGGGCATGGGCGTGGGGTGGAGCCAGGAACCTTAGCGTCCCGTCTCCCAGCCCCAGGCTGTGCCTCTGGGGGAAGAAAGTGGGTCACTGCCAGCAGGGGCAGGGGTCTGGGAAGTGCCCCCTGGCCTCTCCCTTCTCACTTCAGATGCTCCTGGCACACCTTCTGCTTGCTACAGATTGGGGTCCACTGGCTCTCCTCTGCCCTGCTTGCCTGTCATAAAGGAATGAAGTGATTGGAGGACGCAGGGACAGTCCTGAGGGGCTGCGGGAAATGCCAGGAAAGGAATTCATACTTTTTCTAGGCTTGACTTCCAGCAGCGAGCATGGATCCTGGCCCTTGGCAACTTGTAGCCCTTGCTGACCGGCTGAGTTGAGAGGCAAGGATAGAGCTAGAGCGAAGGCAGGCTACGTCTACCCCAGGCCCAGAGGCAGTTGGCATTTCATTCTGCCCTTCGGATGCTCCTGGGCTAACTCTTTGTTTTTGATAAATTTAATTAATCTATTTTCATCTGCTTGAAAAGCAGAGAGATGACCCATCCTCTAGTTCACTCTAAATGTCCACAACAGCTAGGCCTGGGTCAGGCTGAAGTCAGGAGCCAGGAACTCCATCCAAGTTTCCCACCAAGTGGCAGGGACCCAAGCACTAGAGGCATCCTCCACTGCCTTAGAAGATGCATCGGGCCCAGTGGCTAAAATATTCGCCTTGCATGTTCTGGGATCCCATATGGGTGCCAGTTTATATCCCAGCTGCTCTACTTCCCATCCAGCTCCCTGCCGGGCCTGGGAAAGCAGTGAAGGATGGCCCAAAGCCTTGGGACTCTGTACCTACATGGGAGACCCAGAAGAAACTCCTGGCTTCTGGCTTTGGATCAACTCAGCTGCAGCCATTGTGGCCACTTGGGGATTGAATCAGCAGACAGAAGAGCTTTCTCTATCTTTCTGCCTTTAAATCTGACTTTCCAATAAAACAATGATAATAATAAATCTCAGAGAAAAAAAAAAAAGAAGATGCATCAAGGAAACTGAGTGGCTGGGACTTCAATTTGGGGTGTGAGTGTTGCAAGCAGTAGCCTAACCCGGCCTTCAGCTTTCTGACTGTGCACAAAGCAGAACTTGCTCTCTCAGCCTTTCAGTTTGGGCCCCACCCCAATCTTTTTGGCCCAGGAAATGGGAGCTTGGAAGAACTCAAAAAGCCCACATTGGGAGGTCAGAGGACCTCTGCAGCAGGGATGAGCACAGAGTTGGGGTGGGGGTGGTGAAGCCCCTGCCACCTGATGAGGATGTGTTTGGTGGGAGCTGCCCAAGGTGCGTGGCTGACCCCAGGAACAGCTGGACAGGTAGGGATGGGGACAATGAGAACTCCTAAAGAGAGAGGCTGTGGCAGGAAGTCCTGGGGTTAGCTGTTGGGCAGACTTTGTTGCATCACTAGAATCAGAGTCCAAAAAAAAAAAGATACTTTGTCATCCCCACCCCCTGGCCCTGCTCCAGGCTTCCTCTCTTATGCCCCTCAGGGGTTCTGGGAATTGCACTGGGGGTTGGCTGCATCTGACGCTTCACTTACCACCTCACAAAGCCACTGGCCCTGGGAGCTGGCCTTGATGTCCCACCTCCAGTGGCTGCTCAGTGGTGCCCGTTAGCTGGGTGCCCCCGAGTTTCCTAAGTAGGGAGTCCACTCTGTGGGGCTCTGCGGCCAGTGGCTGAGTCCTCCTCTCCCCATCTGGGCTCTGCCGCCATGCTCTCGTGAGCCCAGGGCAGATAGAAGGAACCTGGACAGGGCCAGCCAGCCTGTCTGGTTGCTCCCAGCAGGCAGGGGTGGAGTCTTGGCTGTGAGTGGCCGGCGCCCCTGGCTTTCTGGACTCCTTGGCACCCCTCAGTGGGGACTTTAGCCTCCCTTCCCTTAGGAAGTCCTGCTTGGCCAGGATGAGGTGGAGGTGGCGGCTAGAGGATAGAAGGTCCATGGACATGTCCATCAGGGCACAGCTCTTGGGGGACTACTGCACCCCCCCTAGTGTGCCAGGGTCTGCTTGGCTGACAAGCTGAAGCTCTCTAGTGGGTTTCTGGTACACCCCACCCCTGTAGGCATCCCAGCAACATAATCTTGCCAGTTTATGGCCTTGGCAAGCTGGTCTTCTACCATCTCCACTCTCCGTGGGAGGCCCCTCTGCCATCCCTGGATAGGGAGATGGGCTCCAGGAGCTGCAGCCACCATGTCCTTGGTTGGCCAGCTCCTTCCAGGCTCTTGACAGGAGAGTGAGGTCATTCGATGCAGAGAGAGGACAGGTGTCCCTGGCTCCATGCCTGGAGTAGGGGGCAAGGAGGGGCCGGCAGGGGGGCTCCAAAATAGCAACTGTGACATCAGGAGGGGGGGTGAATGTAGACCCAGGAATAACTAAGCTATTAAAAGGCTCCAGTGAGGTCAGGAGGCCAAGTGGGAACTCTGTACCAGTGGGAGGCATAGGCTGGGGAGAAGAGGCAGCGCAGAAGTGTAGTGGGCAGGCAGGCAGCACCAAGCCCCAGGGTCCCAGCAGGCTCCAAGGGTGCTGGAGAGAGCCTGGATGCAGATAATTCTTCGTTCTTCCAGCCTCAAGTCTGTTCCTGCTTGGGCCTGGGAGTCCTTGTATCTGTTAACGGAAGCCTAGGGCTGGCTTCACGCATTCTCTTGCATGAGAAGCAATGTAGTATAGTGGTTGGAGTTCAGTGTTTAGCTTTGTTTTTTAAGATTTACTTATTTATTTTTAAAGATTTATTTATTTATTGGAAAGTCAGATATACAGAGAGGAGAAGAGACAAAGAGGAAGATTCTCCGTCCGCTGATTCACTCCCCAAGTGACCGCAATGGCTAGAGCTGAGCCAATCTGAAGCTAGGAGTCAGGAGCCAGGAGCCAGGAGCCCCCTCGGGGTCTCCCATGCGGGTGCAGGGTCCCAAGATTTTGGGCCATCCTCAACTGCCCTCCCAGGCCACGATCAGGGAGCTGGATGGGAAGCAGGGCTGCCGGGATTAGAGTCGGTGCTCACATGAGATCCCGGGGTGCAAGGCGAGGACTTTAGATACCAGGCTACTGTGCCAAGCCCAGGATTTATTTTCCTTGGACAGGCAGATTTACAGAAAGAAGGAGAGACAAAGAGAAAGATCTTCCCTTCTCTGGCTCAGTCCCCAAATGACTACAATGGCCAGAGCTGAGTTATCCAAAGCCAGAAGCTAGGAGCTTCCTCTTGGTCTCCCACGCAGATGCAGGGCCCAAGCACTTGGGTTATTCTCTTCTGCTTTCCCAGGCACATTAGCAGGGAGCTGGATCAGAGGTGGAACAACCTGGACTAGAACCGGTGCCCATGTGGGATGCCAGTGCAAAAGGCGGAATCTAACCCTAGAGCTCAGTTCTCAACATCAGATACCCTAGCCCTCTGTGTGTGTGAGCAGCTATGTGACCTCAGTGGGTAACTTCATTGCTCTAGGCCTCAGTTTCCCAACATGTCCCCAACTTCCAAGGTCATCGTGCAGGATCAATGAGTGAGATGATGTAGGTGATGCTCCCAGCATTGCATGTGGTGGGTTGCCAGGCAGGGAAGTTTGCTGTTATCTGAAAATAGGCTGCTGCTCCCTGGTCCCCTGTCTCCTTGCCTGGTCTGGGCTGAAGCCTGCCCAGGACCAGGCTGCCTGCCCCTTGGAAAGCAGCTCTGGAGGCCCACACTGCAGAAAGGATGGGAACCATTGAGCCTCTGCTGAGGAGGGGTCTACCTGCTGGTGGAGGGCATGGGGAGGCACCTCCTTCCTCCGTGGGACGGTGAACTCTAGTGCAGCTCTTATGAGAGCTCCATGCAAGATGCAAGGTTAGGCCAAGGGGTGGGGTGTTTGTTCCCCCACCGTCTCCTGATTCCTTCACCTGCTCATGGATGGCAGGAGGGGAGACAGGATCCAGTCTGGCTTCTTGGTCAAGCCCCTTGCCAAGAGTAGCAGCCGGAGCTGCTCCTAGACGACGCCTGAGTACCCTGGCCTGTGCCCTCCCTCGGCCCAGCCTCTGGCCACCCAGCTCTGTGGCCTTGGCCCTGAGTGCCGGCCCATCCCCCTCTCCTGGCGCTTCCTCCTGGGGTGGAACGCGCCTCCCCCATGGGGCCTCCGCCAGGCCGGGCTCCTGGCAGCGGGCCGGCGGCTCCCTGAGCATGCTCCACCTATTTATAGACAGGGCCCTCCCCCAACTGCTATTTCAGTCTCCTGCCAGCTGCCGGCGGCTCATTCGGGAAGGAGGAGCAGGGAGCCAGGCCCAGAGCTGTCACCCGGAGCTGGGAGGGAACACACAGAGCCCGCCAGCCTGCCTGCCCGCCGAGCTCCCCTTCCTGTCCCCTGAGTGCCCAGCCAGACCCCAGTTCCTGGGAACGGAGGCCGGGCCAGTGGCCGGTGCCCCTCTGGGGTGAGCTAGACTGCAGCTCCAGGGCCTCTGGGCCCCTCCTGCTTCTGCTGCCTCTAGGAGCGCCTGGCCCGGATGAAGCGCCTCCCCGCAGAGCGGGTACCCGCCGCCGCTGCAGCGGCCTGAGGGAGCCCCGGAGCAGTGTGGACTGTGCCGGCACCTTCCCCCCAGCCGGTTCCCCGCCTCGGGCGGCCCCTCCCTGGCATGCTGCTGGTGCCCAAGGCGCAAGGGCTGGTGGAGATGTTGCAGACCATCTACGAGACAGAATCCTGTTTCTCGGCAGATGGCACATCAGGCCGGGAACCACCCTTGGAGATTTTGCCGCGGACTTTGCACAGCATCCCGGTGGCAGGTAAGTGCCTTGGTGTCCCTGCCCACCCTTTACTGTTGGGCATCCTGGTCCCTGGGAGACTGAGTACAATGCTCTGAGCCCTGCCCAGATGGGATCCTGCTTCAGGCTTCCTCCAAGGTGTCTCATCATCCGTAGGGTTCGGGGTGGGGGCAGAGGGAGACCGTGTTCACAGGTGGACTTCCCTTCCCATGCCTCAGAGTCTGCCTTCCCCTGAGCCTGTCAGCTGCATCCTGCCAGTTACCTTGGCTTCCAACAGGGTCCATCCCAACTGCTGGGGAGAGGGGGTTACTCGAGGATCCTGGCCTAGTTGGCACCAGGGTCAGAGGGGAGGAAGTGGGTCAGGGACCTGCCTGTTCCCCGTTTTGGGGCAAGGGCAGAAGCTGAAGCTGGGGTGTCCACAAGGATCAAAGTGATCCCAGCTGCCTTGACTTGTTCTTGGAGGGGCTGGAGGATTGAGTGCAGTGACTTTAGTAAGTCCCCAAACGGGCTCTTATGAGGGTTGGACCCTAGTGGAGGAGGTTCCATGCAGTTGTGGGAAAGCTGGCTACCACAGCTCTTGGCTCCCCCATATCTCCCTTCTTCCTGGGCCTTGGAGATGCAGAGGAGAGGTGTTATTCTGGCTCTAATGGCCTTCAAGACCTCTCTTAGCCCTGGCTTGAGGATGCCCCTTTGTTAGCAACGATGCTTTTAGACCTGGGTTGGGGGTGGGGTTCCCAGAGCTGGGCCACTCCTGTCCTCACTCCCAGGAACCTGTTGGCACCATCAGGCCTTCCTGGCACAGCCTCCCCACCAGGCCGGCACTACAAGATGCTTCCTCCAGGGAGGGGCCTCCTGGATCTGTGCCCACTTGGCCCCTCCTGGCAGTGGCTTGGCACTCAAGTGTGTGTATGTGTGTATCTGTGTGTGTGTTTGCACGCACACACACGTGCATATGTGTCCTTGCCTCTGGATGCAGGGGAGTTGATCTGAAACTTCAAATTAGAAGGTGGGAAGTGTGTGCCGCTGCAGGTTCCGGGGTTCCTGGGGCTTGCTTGGCTCAGGGCTATGAAGGGATAAGGTTACAATGCGACTGGGATGTGTCAGAGGGCGAATGTTTGGGGAAGGTTTGGAAAATCCTTGGACCATGTCCTGCCATCCGCCTGGGCAGGGATACCCAAGCATAGTGTGGGGGCATGGCCTAGAAACCAGCCCTGCAAGGTACTGTGTGGGCTCCTGTGACATGGGACAGTATCCACAGAGGCACTGGCTCCTGCCCAAGTCTAATTGAATCTACAGCTCAAACTGAAGATGCTTCCAGCCTCTGTGACCCAAGGTGGTCTCTTGCAAAGCAAGGGGATGGCCATGCTGAGTGTCTGCTGGGAGCAGCCCTACCCTGAGGCTTCTCAACTAGACCATCCCATCCTGTCGCTGCTGTTCTGTCACCTGTCAGCAGCAGCTGGCTCTCACCCAAAGTTTCCTCTTCACCTTTCAGATTAGACCTCAGGAATCATATAGGCCGGACCCCTGCTGCCTGGTTCCTTTCCTAAACCCACCTGCCCCTCCATCTAGATCCTGGTCTCCCCCACCTCGACACTGCCTGGCCTTCTGTGTGGTGGCATGGTCCCTGCTGGCAGGACGGAGGCATGAGTCACCCCAGCGGCTCGGAGAGAGGCCTAAGAATGTTCTCCCTGCGCAGCTCTGATGCTGTGTCTGTGACGCGGCTCGGGACGGATATAGGCCTGGAGCTCACTGCCTCGCTTTTTTTTTTGGACTCTGGAATGTAAATAGATGTTTCAAATAGAAACGCTTTAACCTTTGGGTTAAAAAAAAATCCACCCGGGATAAACATGGCCATGAGGGCTCAGGCTGCCTGGTGATTCCCTCCCTTCCCCTCCCCACCACCGCCTCCTTTTCCCATCTCTTGATCCCTCTCCAGACAGGATGCCGAAGCCCAGGCTGGGCAAAGCAGGTGTTGGGATGCTCTCTAGGGTCATATGTAAGGCGCAGGTCTTCCTAGCCCAGGGTGTAGGGAAAAGGCCTTTTTCAGGGTGGTACCACTTGCCATCTCCAGCGGCAAGATGTGAAAACCCTGTTTGATCGGTGGCCTTTCTCTTTGGGCTGTTTTGGTCACTGCCGTGTCCCGCACCCAGCATAGTGCTCAGTACACAGATGAATGAATGTTACACAAGGGGCTGGAGCCCAGGGCTGCTGATCGGATTCTAGGGTTTGCCCCTCCGGGTGAATAGCCAGCTGCAGTGCAGGGGAGGCAGAGCTTAAGCCCCCCAAGGTGTTGGCTCCTGTCTGCCATTTCTGCTGCATGAGACAGGGGAGGTAAATCTCGGAGGTCTTCCTCGGTAGATGAGGTCTCTGCCTGGCGACTCTGCCATGGCCCAGCATGCCGTGGGCACCTCCATTAGCCAGGCCCACTCCCAACCTGGGGAGTTTGAATTTGTTTCTGAAATATTTTATTTAAAAGGTAGTTAGAGAGACAGAGTAATGTTCGCTCCCCACTTGGTCACACTATTCCAGGGTTTGGTCAGGTGGAAGCCAGGAGCCTGGAGTTCCACCTGAGTCTCCCGCTTGGGTAACAGGAACCCAAGCACTTGGGCCATCTTCTGCTGCTTTCCCTGGTGTATTATCAGGATACTGGGTGGGAGGTGAAGCAACCAGAACTTGAATCAGCAGCCATAAGGGATACCAATGTTGTAGGTGGTAGCTTTACGTGCTAAGCTGTAATGTCCCGGAGTTTGGATTTTTTTAATTTATTCATTTTTATTGGAAAGGTAGATTTACAGAGAGGAGAGACAGAGAGAAAGATCTTCCATCCGCTGGTTCACTCCCCAAGTAGCTGCAATGGGTAGAGCTAAGCTGATCTGAAGCCAGGAACCAGGAGCTTCTCCTTCATGGGTGCAGGGTTCCAAGACTTTGGACCATCCTCTGCTGTTTTTCCAGGCCATAGCAGGGAGCTGGACAGGAAGTAGAACAGCCAGGATACAAACAAGCGCGTATATGGGCTGCTGGTACTTGAAGAAATGGAAGATTAGTCAGTTGAGACAATGCTCCAACATCAAGTTTGAACTCTTGTAAAGGATTTACAGGAACACAGAGTTGGGGAATTCCCTGTCCCCTCCTGTGGGCTCTGGACTCCCTTGCACACTTCAGGCTTGGGCTGATGCAAGGCCACTGTGGAGCTGGTGCTGGGTCTGCGAGAGCCTCCATGCCAGGAAGGGTTACTATGGCTGCTGGGAAGTGCAATGGGGTTAGTTTGACCCTGGGACTTTGTCTGGATGTTCCTAGTCATGCTCTTCAGGCCATTCCAAGCGTGGCTGTGTGTGCAGGTGTTGGCTGCCTGAAAGATGGGAGGGTGGGTCTCTGCTAGGATGGAAACTAACACTGTCAGGTTCCAGGAGACAAGGGTGCCACATTCCTTTCTTCTTTTCTCTCTTTGAAGAAGTTGTTAACAGCACCAGTTCATTTTATTTTATTCTATTTTTTAAAATTTATTTTTATTATAAAGTCAGATATACAGAGAGGAGGAGATCCTGAGGGGAAGATCTTCTGTACCGATGATTCACTCCCCAAATGACTGCAGTGGCCGGTGCTGCATCGATCTGAAGCCAGCAGCCAGGATCCTCTTCTGGTCTCTCACATGGGTACAGGGTTCCAAGGCTTTGGGCCGTCCTTGACTGCTTTTCCAGGCCATAAGCAGGGAGCTGGAAGGGAAGCAGGGCCGCTGGGATTAGAACTGGCACCCATATGGGATCCTGGCGCTCAAGGTGAGGACTTTAGCCGCTAGGCTATCGCCATGTTATATGTTACAGCCATTCTCTGCTACTTTTCTAGGCCACAAACAGGGAGCTGGACTGGAGGTGGAGCAGCCAGGACATGAACTGGTGCCGTTATGAATCCTGGCACTTTGCAAGGGAAAGATTAGACAATTGAGCTATTGCTCTGGGCCCACTTTATTCTATCTTTTCTCCCCATTCTATTTTTAAGAAAGATTTATTTACTTATTTTAATTTGAAAGAGTGACAAAGAGAGATTTTTTTCAACTGCTAGTTCATTCCCCAAAGAGGTACTACAATAGCCATGGCTGGGCCAGGCTGAAACCAGGAGTCAGAAACTCTATTCAGGTCTCCAGTGTGGATAGGAGATGCATAAGCACCTGGGCCATCTTTCTGCCCTTCCCAAGTGCATTAGCAGAAAACTGGGTCAAAAGTGGAACAGCTGGAGAGCCCAGCACGGTGGCCTAGAGGCTAAAGTCCTCACCTTGAATGCACCAGTGTCCCATATGAGCCTCAGTTCTAATTCTGGCAGCTCCACTTCCCATCCAGCTCCCTGCTTGTGGCCTGGGAAAGCAGTTGAAGGTAGCCCAAAGCCTTGGGACCCTGCACCCCTGTGGGAGACCTGGAAGAAATTTCTGGCTCCTGGCTTTGGATCAACTCAGCTCCAGGGCTATTGTGGTCACTTGGGGAGGGATTCATTGGACGAAATATCTTCCTCTCTGTCTCTCCTCCTCTCTGTATATCTGACTTTGCAATAGAAAGTAAATAAATAAAATCTTTAAAAATAATAATAATAAAAGTGAAACAGCTGGAACTTGAACTGGTACCTACAGCATTGCAAATAGCAGCTTACATTGCTGCACCAAAACATGGACCCTCAACAGCTATATTGTATTATTGAGGAGGGCCACAAAGGCTAAGAAGCTTGCCCAAGATCCCAGAGTAAGTGGGCGCTGGGATCTGAGCTCCAGTGTCCGTGAGGCTGCTGTGGACCCATATAGTTCTTTTGTTTTATTTACATGCATGCTCATGCCAGTGTATATGCTGAGCAGTGGCAGTGTGGGCCAGATGTCAGCTCTGCTTCCCCTTCAGCTAGATGCCTTGGACAGTGGGCGACATGCCCAACCTTACATGGTGGGCCAGGCTGTGAGCCTCTGGAGTTTGTGCTTCCAGAGGGTGGGAATATTTCTGTCTGTTGCGAGCCCCTGGGGTCCCTATTTCCCTCCCTATGAGGAT